ATCCGAGAAGCTATGGCAACACCACACGTAAAGCTAGTAACTTGGATGAGATGCTGGTTACCAAAAAAACGAGGTGGTTCCAATTCTGGAAACCTCCCACTGGAAGCTACGCCTCCCCTATTCCCCAGGGTACTGAAGACGACGAGTATCCCTGGAACAACAAGGAGAAAAAGCCATTCTTACAGAAGGTCAAGTCTGTGTTTGTCGGTGATGAGGAGGAGAAAGTAGAGTACCCGTCAGCTTACACCCTCGACTATGACCAACAATTGGAGGAGCATGCTGAATGGGAGAAATGGCTGAAGCCAAAGGATCGCCCTCATCACCGCCTGCCCATTTTCACCTGGACGCCTTCTTTCCTTCCCGCCATACAAGGGATCAACAAAAAGGTCGACACTATTTACTGGTGCCGCGCTGAGCTGGCCAGGCTCAATCTCGAAATTGAAGAAGACCAACAGCAGCCAGAGCGGTACCCTATTATGAACTCGGCCTTCATTCAGTTCAACAACCAAGTCTCGGCCCATATGGCCTGCCAATCCGTCACGCACCACGTACCCAAGCACATGGCACCTCGAATGGTCGAGATATCGCCCAACGATGTCATCTGGGACAACATGGCTATCAAGTGGTGGGACGAGTGGGCACGGTGCGCAGTTGTGTTTGGCTTTGTTGTCGGCATGATCATTCTCTGGGCTTTTCCGGTTGCTTGGACAGCCTCGCTGGCGCAGATTGGTGACCTGATCAAAAAGTATAGCTGGCTCAGCTTCCTCCAGACGAACGCAACAGTCTATAGCGCAGTCAAGGCTGTCGCCGGTATTCTGCCCGCCATTGTCCTGGCGATTTTACTAGCACTGGTGCCACTTATTCTTGACTTCCTAGCAGGATTTCAGGGATCTAAAACGGGTGCCCAGAAGTCGGAGGTCGTTCAAGTCTACTACTTCATATTCCTATTCGTCCAGGTCTTTTTGGTCGTGTCCATCGCCACCGGTACTATCCAGACGATTGCAAATCTGTCCAACGACATCACCAGCACGCCCAACCTCCTAGCCGAAAACCTACCCAAGGCCGCCAATTACTTCTTTACCTACATGTTACTACAGGCTCTGTCAACGAGCTCGGGAACCTTACTCCAGATTGGTACTTTATTCGTCTGGTATATTCTCGCCAGAATACTGGACAATACGGCACGAGCAAAATGGCACCGCAATACACAACTTCCTAACGTGACCTGGGGCTCCTTCTTCCCAGTGTACACCAACTTCGCATGCATTGCGCTGATCTACTCCATTGTGGCCCCTTTAATTTCCATCTTCGCCATCATCACATTCAGCTTACTCTGGGTCGCGAACCGTTACAATATGCTGTACGTCACGCGATTCCGGTCAGATACCGGCGGCGTGCTATACCCACGCGCCATCAACCAGACATTTACTGGGCTTTACGTCATGGAGCTGTGCCTCATTGGCCTCTTCTTCCTCGCCGAGGACGAGGAAGGGGTCAACGTCTGCTTCCCGCAAGCCATTATCATGATCGTGGCCTTGATTTTGACAGCGCTGTACCAGTTTCTGCTCAACTCAGCCTTCGGGCCTCTTCTTCGCTACCTTCCCATTACCTTTGAGGATGAGGCAGTCCTCCGAGACGAAGCATTCCAGCGTGCTCAAGACCGGCGGCTCGGGTTCATTCCAGACGATGACGAGTCGACGGCACTTATGAGTAATCAAGATGGAACAGCTGAGGGCGACATAGAGCTGCATCAGATGCGCCGCGGCAAGGGAGAAACCGGATCAAGACTTGGTCGGCTGAACCCAGTCAAGGGCATCGTACATGCGGGCAACTGGGCGGCACGTGGGGGCAAGAAAGTTCGGACTGCAACTCTTGGTAAGGCCGAGGACAATCTACGAACTGCGACCTTGTACCGCAAACAACGGCGACAAAAGGACCTAGAGGCACAGCGCGCGATAGGAGACGCGCTGTACGGGGGGTACCACGACGAAATCGAGGACTTGACGCCCGAGGAGCGTGACGCGTTGGTTCGTAAGGCGTTCCAGCACTACGCGATGCGTGCTCGCCGACCAACAGTGTGGATCCCACGCGACGACCTTGGTGTGAGCGACGACGAGATCATCAAGACCAGAGACTTTAGCGAGCACATTTGGATCAGCAACGAGGGCACTGCCTTGGACAGCAAGGTGCGCGTTGTGTATGGGCGGAACCCGCCGGATTTCTCCGAGGTGGATATTATCAATTTGTAAAATGGGAGAGGTCTGACAATTGATAAGGGGGAAGGGAAAGGGGTGGTTGTATTTGGGGTCAATGGCGTCGTTGAGTTTCAGCACACATACACGCTCGGTATGCATACATGCATTCGCAACGAGGGAATACCCAGGGAGGTTTTGCTTTCAGACTGGAGTTTGACATTGCGTAGACATCCCAGAGACCCTTATGTTTTAATGGGCAACTCGTCAAATATTTTGACTGCAATGTTATCGAGCGGTCTAAACTTGAGGTTCTATCTTGATTCCGCTCTTAGCATATGTACGCCCCGTACAAATGATCGACACGCGACTCTCGGCCGACTTGTTAACCCACTTGCCAGCCGGTGCAACCGGCGGTGCCGACACGGGACGCGCAGCGGCAGGGGCTTTGACAGTTTCCGCTGCCTTGGCAGTGGCCTTTTTGCTTTCTGCCGCTCACGGCAGGCGTTGTATTTCTCCTAGGAAGCATGCATTAGTTCCTGAAGTACATCGCCTGGTGTTCACACATGTTACCTTTTTGCTGACCTTGCCAGCCCCACCCCTCCTCCCCGGGCTATCGGGGCACTCTGTTAGATCGTCAGCTACATCAAAATATAGATAAACTTGTCAGGCGACGCGTAAACTCACGGTGCTGCCGCTCTGGACCCAGGCCCGGACGGCGGCGGCGGCGGCTACAGCAGCAGCCCTGGGCGTCATGCCCGCCGCAAGACTGATGATGCCGCTAGGAGCATTTGGCGACACTGAAAATGTTAATAGAAAGAGAATCACGCGGTCCAAGTAATAGAACATTCAGCTTGGGGGCTGCTGCTTATCGTGGACTTACATTGGTCGAAGCCGCGTGCGTGATTCTGTGATATACTGTATCATAGTCTCAGAGACTGACTATATTTATGGAAGGCGGCATGCTCGACTGATATACATACAAATGTGGCATGGTGTGACTGTGAGTGGTGTTAGGGTTGACATACTATTGCCTCGTCGTGGCATCACGGGGCAAGGAGGTAGATAAGTATACATACAGACAGCGGCCAAAGCCGCTGGGGAGCTTGATAGTGATGAACTCTGTGGTTCTGTGGTTCTGTTAGAAGCATCTCCAAGTCACATGTTGAGAGGCAGATAGCCTAGAGCAAGGCGTACGTTGGAGGCAATATCAACCCAGCGAGCAAACGATATATACATACCACCACCAAGCCTAAGGCAGACCACAGAATTCTCGGTTTTCCAGAGAACAAGAGAAGAGAACGGCAGAATTCACAACAGGAAGCTCCACTTCAGCAACTGCCTGGGCATCGGTGTGTCTGGCCTGAGGCTCGAACAACCCAAACCCCCAAGTAGGGAAGGAGCCGGCCAGCTCCCTCAGCCGGCATATGGTGCGCCTGACTTACGTCATGGTCAGACCATCTGCCAGTCGGGCTGCTAAGCTTTCCAGTTTTTGGCAGGCCTTGCGTGTTTTGTGTTTCCTGGAAAACATAAGTCTTATGGGTATCATCAACCTGCCTATTCGAATGCCCTCGCGGCTCTAAGGGAGAAGTGCCCTTATAAGATAACATTCAAGATAGCCGACCTCTTCTTCCGTTACAGTTTCCCAGGCCTAACTGAGTGTATCAGCTTTCGTGAGGTGCGTGTATCGTTCTGCGCCTCATGTAGACCTTCGAAAACATGAGTGTTTGTCAACCAAGATAGCTATGACCACTGCAACCGGTCACGCTGAACGCCAGGCCACATCTAACATGGGTACGGCCCCTGATCCCGCCCATGGTGGTGCCTTCCCAGAGTATCCCGCCCCTTGGTCACGCCAAGCCCCAAATCTTGTGTTGAAAGTGCCGAAGATTGTGTCTTTTCTTTTGGAAAGCCAAGGAAAGGACAGACATCATTAATCCGAACTCGGGCATATCGACATCTTACTAACACCTGTCCGTGGAAGGACATTTTCCCGCAAAGACCTTAGGCTTGCCTGTTTGGAAGCAATGATCGAAAGGACTCAAAACAGGCGTTATCATTCCCCCTTAGTGGGTCACGTTCCAGATAGAGGTATATCCAGAAGGACCCTCGACCATTTCGCAGAGATCATGAATGTAGAGCAACACCACGAAAATACACCCAAGACAACAGGTACTCAGGCTAGACCCCAGACAATCGTCGTACGAGCTCAGAGCTATGAACACCCGTTATCACCGAAGAAAAAGCGCCTTACTGGACCCACTCGCCCCTTAACAAGGTTCAACAAGGTCTTATTTCGCAAGATAAGACTCATCCCCAATTCTATGCCCCCTTTTTCCAATTCTAGTTATGCCTTGTTAAATACTAAATATATCTTTTCAGATACCGAAAAGGTAGATTCAAGACCTCAAAATATATTTCAGGACCAGACGGCGGCATATTCCTAGGTGTCTTGCGCCAACATACAAACAGGGACTGGACTGTATGTCTCCAGCCAAGACTGGGGCACAGTTCAGGTGACTGGCCCACCACCAGGTCAAGCAAGCTCAGCAGCACTGAAAAGGTCGCGACATCAAAATCCCACCATTCAGCAGCACATTTTCTATGTTGCCAGGTAGGCAGCCAGGACCCTCTGCGTTCTATAGGAACAATCGAGCTTCGCGGCATGCAATACCACGCTGCTAATTTGATGTCGTTGAAGCAGCTGCTTAACCGCTCACTACTGAATCACCGGCACAAGGCCGCCGGCTGTTGCTAAGGTAGCTCGGGGGACAGCCACTCAACTCAGAGAGAAGACTCTCATATCATGGCAACGTGGCCGAGCGGTTTAAGGCGATTGACTCGGGCGACCCGGATAGAGTACTCACTTGAAATCAATTCTCTTCGGGGGCACATGTTCAAATCATGCCGTTATCGATCAAATACGACTCAATCGAGAGATTGAGTCTTTCCTTTTGCATATTCTGCAGTGTGACTCCGCTCGGTATCCACATGGGTTTGCGGCCGGCCTCAGCAGACAAGTTGGGACTAGGAACTCCCTGTCCGTCAATTGCGAGAAATATTTTTGTGTTCAGCCTTTTAGAGGTCGAAACCCTCAGAGACCAGTTACGAAAGCTCGTGGTTGCGTTCAAGAACGCGGTTGGCTGGAGCCCAGACAGTGTTGTGTAAGTGTCTTACCGAGAACCAGAAGGGTGGATGGGTTAGAAACGGGAATACCGCAAAGCCCTGCCGATGGAGCCGAGAGAGATACAGCAGCCAATCGCAGAGTGAGTTTTGATCACATTGGCACCAAGTTAAGCGGCGCTGAGCAGGGAAATGGTGAGAACCAAGATGGGCAAACTGGAGATGCCGGAATTGCGAAGTATCCGCTGTTCTGGATTCACTTGACGACAAGACGTTGAGGTGTCGATTGACGTCAACTTCGCCAAGGGATGCCAAGATATGGCCAAGAACGCGGATGCTGTCGCTGGGTTTCGGCGTTGGAATGCATTTCCCAATACCGCAACCTATCACGCGACACGAGGCAGAATGTTTTTTTTTCCTGCAGTTGCTTGCCGCGATAGCGAGCCAAGAAGCCGATTTTCAGCGAGCGTCGAGGTGCTCGCGTGCTGTATATCCAGACTGGAGCGACATTGGTTGCTAGGCGAACTTGGCATGCCTCAAAACCCAATGAATCCCCCAGCGTTGCGATGGGCGAATCTTGGAAGACTCCAAAAGGGGCAGACTCGATGCCAAGACGAAAGAAAACAATCAGGTCAGAATGGGACGAACCACAGCACCAAGAACAGAAACGTGCCCCCTCCAGCCATGCGATTTGTGGGGAAAGCCCCTGAAAAACGCGGTTCAACAGCTTCCCTTGTTGGCAAGGGGTTCCTGGCCCGAGGTCTGCACGCCACTGCATGAAATCTGACGAACATAACGGAGCTTTAACAATGGAGAGGGGTGGGCTATGTCCCGGGCACGGTATTGTATATGTCCGATACCTGCGTATGGTCGGGGCCCTTCTTGGTAGGTGCCTCTCGACCTTTGTATCGGCAGTGTATGCCCACTAAAAACATAGGTATGTATTTGCAGCACAGAAACACGATAGGGCCATCGGGATACGACCTTAAAACCTTCACCGAGGCACTGGACTACCTGTCTGTTTCTGTCTGTCTTCTCGATACAAGGTGGAGGGCTGGGGGCAGCGGGCCTTCCAAGACTCGGGTCGCATCTAAGTTTCCCTTGAGGGCTCCGCAGATGCCGCCCAGAACCTGTGGATCTGAGCCCATTCAGACACCCTCCACTTAAAAGCTACAAGCGGCCACAATGCTGTGCATGTCAATACAAGGACCCTAAGGCCCACTAGCTATGCGTCCTGCACACCCCTCCTGATGCTCCGTCTCGAGGACTTGGCTGTTGGAGCTCAGCTTGCGATACAGACCCTTTCGCAACATGGTGGACGGCAACTCGGCATCAGATCGGGGCTGCTCATGACTGCCATCCCCCATCAGTTAATGGAATACATAATCCCCTCGAGCTTTTCATTATGTCACTCCTCTCATCTCTCAAGGCTACAATTCCCACAAGTATCTTTCCTCATACTCACTCCAGCCCCTGGCCTATACATCCGAACTTGGCCCGGCATCATCCCGCTGCTCACTCATTGAGCAACGACAACCATGGCTGCCGCCCCAAAAACAGCAGGAGGAAATAGTGCGTATCACAATACGCACAATGATTTTCTACACATCAGAGACCCCAATGAGCGCAGGCGGCTCGCCCTCGCTGAGATCGACAAGGCCCCGTTCGGCTGGTACCATGTCCGCGCCATCACTGTTGCCGGCATAGGCTTCTTCACCGACTCCTACGACATCTTTACAGCCTCCCTGTTGACCATCATGTTGGGCATTGTCTACTACCCCGGCGTCGGTACCATGCCAACAACTTCAGACACAGCTATCAAGCTAGCTACCTCAGCCGGTACCGTCATCGGACAGCTTGGGTTCGGCACCCTCGCCGATATTGTCGGCCGCAAGCGAATGTATGGTTTGGAATTGATTTTGATCATCTTCGCGACCTTTGGCCAAGCCCTGGCTTCTTCATCTCTGTCGATGAACATCATCGGTCTTATTATATTCTGGCGTGTACTCATGGTAAGTGCTTTTCCCTAGAATTACCCCTGAATCGGCGGCAACTAACACAATGGACCAATAGGGCATAGGCATAGGAGGAGATTACCCCTTGAGCAGTATCATCACTTCGGAGTTTGCGACAACCAAATGGAGAGGCGCCATGATGGGGGCTGTTTTTGCTATGCAGGGCTTTGGCCAGCTTGCCGCTGCCTTCGTCATGCTCTTCGTCACTCTTGGCTTCAAAGAGTCTCTCTCCACCTCGACCAATCCGTCCAACTGTGTAGGCCAATGCGCCGTCGCCGTCGACAAGATGTGGCGAACATTGATCGGATTCGGTGCTGTTCCGGGCTGCATTGCTCTTTACTACCGTCTTACTATTCCCGAGACGCCGCGTTACACTTTTGATGTCGAAATGGACGTCGAAAAGGCCGCGGACGACGTCAAGGCTTACATTGAGGGCAAGCCTGAAGGCGCCCCTGACGAGCTCACCCGCATTGCAACCAAGAGACAAGCTGTCGAGCAGTTGAGGGTGCCGAAAGCTAGCTGGCGTGACTTTTTCCGCCATTATTTTATCCCCAAAAACGCTAAGCTCCTTGCAGGGTACGCTCAACCCCTTCCCCTTTTCTCACCCAACCACCACACCCCCTGAGTCCAAAATATTGCACAACACACAACTAACTAAAAAACACAGAACCACCCTCTCGTGGTGCTTTCTCGATATCGCCTTCTACGGGCTGTCTTTAAATAACGCCACCATCCTCAACGCGATCGGCTACTCCACCGCCAACGCTCACTCCACCTACCAAATCCTCCACAACACGGCGGTCGGCAACCTAATCATCGTCCTCGCCGGTGCGGTGCCAGGGTACTGGATAGCCGTCTTCACCGTCGACACCGTCGGTCGCAAGCCGATCCAGTTCATGGGCTTCATCATCCTGACCATCCTCTTCGCCGTCATGGGTTTCCTCTACTTCAAACTGTCGCCCAACGCCCTGCTCGCCATATACGTGCTCGCCCAGTTCTTCTTCAACTTTGGCCCCAACTCGACCACCTTCATCGTCCCAGGCGAATGCTTCCCCACCCGCTACAGGTCCACGTCACACGGCCTCTCGGCTGCTGCCGGCAAGATTGGCTCTATCATTGGACAAGGCGCCATCGCGCCCCTGCGCACGCGTGGTGCTGTTCCGGGCGGGAATTCCAACCCGTGGATGGACCATGTGCTACAGATTTACGCGCTGTTTATGTTGCTGGGCATTGGGTCGACGGCGCTGATTGTCGAGACGAAGAGGAAGACACTCGAGGAGCTGTCGGGCGATGATGACTACACTACGCAGCCGAGCGGGAGGGAGGTCGCGGCGGGGGCGAGTGGGAATGAATCTGCCAGTGGGCAGGATGGGGTTCTCGTCGGCGAGAACAAAAATATTGGCGGGGATTAGGTTGTTCAAAGGGAGCATGCTGGCGCGCTGCTGGGTAAGCTGGAGTTGGGATGGCATTAGCGTTTTGTTTCTAGAGGTCAATGAATATATTTCTTTTTGAGTTCGGTTTAACTTTGGTTTCCTGACTTGATTTAAGAACTGAGCTGCTTCAACCTGATGTGGTCAGTTTCTCGTGTCTCGACATGAGCCCCTTCAATTTATATAGGTTTTCGCTGCAACTTGTAGACCTTGCATTGAACCGGTGCTGCAAAGTCCAGCAGAACAAGAATGAATAAATAAAAACACAGGATCACACCCACCATACACGGGAAGGATTGCACATACCGCACAAGAGCTGTATCTTCAACCGATCAAAGGGAGGTGGTGGTTTTTGGTTTTGAACTGAGTAGAGACAACCGTAGTAAAGGAACATCCATTCCACCATTTGTTTATTGTTTGTGAAGCCTAGGCATATACGACTCTACTTATTGACCTAGAACACATCTAAAGCCCTAGAAAACACCATTCTAGCATCTAAAAAGGCATAGCTAACATATCAAAAGCTCATTCTAATATTTGAAAGGGCCTTCTGATGTAAAAGTGACTATCGAAAGATAACAAGAGCTTCGAAGTAACACACTAATACACAAACAGGAGCTAATGGTGAAGCAATAAGGGGCGAAAAGGGGTGGAGGGGCTAGTGCCTAAAAAGTAACCAAGAAAATTAAACCTCTCTGTCACCTTCAAATCACGATATGTTTCGTGGCTCCTATGAAAGATCAAAATGACAACTGAATTTTCATTTGTAAAACCGGAAAAGCATAGAACTTTTCTGATGAGGTAAAAAGGAAACTTGCAAAATGCATCTATTTCGACAGTGGCATGATTTGAACATGCGCCTCCGAAGAGAATTGATTTCAAGTGAAAACTCATTTACGAGTCATTCGAGTCAATCGCCTTAGACCGCTCGGCCACACTGCCATGATATTATTGTTGTAAATAATCCACTATTAACATGCCCAGGTTGCCAAGTTAAAGTAACCCCTAATTCGCAGCCAGCCCAATCAAGAGCTTCAAAATCACGAGTCGACATATACATGGGCATCAACTATATGAAAAATCACTTTGATGGGGTTTGTATTTTTTTTCTTTTAGTATTCATCTTTATTTAGACTTCAACTATTTGATCATCCTCATCCTCATCCTCCTCCACCTCTTCTACGCCGCTTTCTGTTTTCTTGGTATCTGGCTCCTCATCCATCATCAGCACCTGCACCAGCCGGTCACAAGCCTCCTGGACGTTCGCATCATCGACGCGCAGATGTGTTTCACGGATGATGGGGTACACGTTGACGCTCCGCATCAAATCACGACCTTCTCTTGTACTTGTGAACAGCATGAGCGTCTCCACGTGTGTCTGGATAATGTGGTTATCCGTGTCCCTCTGCTTGTCAGGGGGCAGAAGTTGAAGATCCGGCAACATGGCCAACATCTCATCCTCGTCGTATTGCTCGTTGCCCGCAATAGGTAGCAAAATGTACGGCAAGATATTGATGCCATCCTCGTCCAGAAATGCCGGGTGCGACGGCACATCAAACGCCACATTCTTGATCGCGCTCGCCACCCCTTTCCTCCTCACATCCGACTTATGCTCGGTGAAAACTTTGATCTTGTTGAGAGGAATGACGTCATCATACTCCTGTTTTTGCACGAAATACTGCCGGATCTCAGGGTGCTTGGCTAGGTCGGCGAACAGGTACGCGAGATAGTTAAAGTCGGCTTTCTTGTTATACGAACCATCGGCACCCTTGACGAAGAGGTCTATTAGCTGGTTGAGCACGTTTTCGTCCGAGCCAAGAGTTGCGGGCGGGCTCTGTTTTTGTGTCGCGATGCCCTTGAGGCCATCCCATTTTGCCATATTCGCAAGCAGCATAGAGAGGAGATTCGCATTTGGCTCCTCCGGGTCCTATCGAGTAAAATATTTTTGTCAGCTACTGCTCCTTGACCGCGTTCTAGGCCGGGCGCATAGGGGTTGCCCAAGGCTGACATACCGCTATGTTGGTAAGAACGATGCCGAGGAATTTTTCGTCCGTCGCCACAGCCTCCAGGACCTCCCGGTCGCCGGAAAGGTTGATCAGGATCGTCAGCGCATGTTCAGAGATTTTCTGTCCGCTCCTTCAGTTCGTGTTTCTTTCGCTAGTCGAGATCGTAAATCTTACCGGGTCGTCGCGAACTAAGAATTTAAGGTGCTTGACAGGCAGCAGTTCCTCGGTCTTAAATATTGAGGACTGCGCAGTCGAGTATGGTACAAGGTTCTCGATGGCAAGCTGTCGAACTTTGGGATTTGGGTGGGCAATAAACCCCACAAGCTACGAGCATGTTAAAAGCCAGCTTCTAGCGATGGGTACAGTGGGGGGTGGTACCTCCTCGAGTTCTGAAGGCATAGCTGTCCTGGAAGTTGAGCAAAACACAATTTTGCTGAACACGACTTTGAAAATTCACGGCAAAGCTCTGTTAAAGCTATCTGTGTAAGTCTTGGAGGGGCAGTGAGGGGCACTCCGATAAGCACTGATAAGATATCGATAGGGACCCCAGGGTCGAGCCCCTGGAACTTCGGCAGGATGTAGATCCGTAATTGTGGAAGCTGGCCAATCATTTGTGCAGCGCATGTGAGGTGTTACCCCCGGTGGGAACTTTTTTATTTTTTGAGAGTGCACCACCAAAAAAGTACCCAGTAATGCAGTAGGACGTCGACGAAAGCCTCACAGCCGAGCCACGACATCGACCTCAGAATACGGCGCACACACCAAAATGCCAAAAGCCCATACCCCAACGTCGTCTCACCGGAGACGACACAACCCCCTAGAGGATGACCTCTTAGCGAATGGCGCCCTCAAGAACAAGACGGGGCAATCTTCCAAGCGCGCCGCAACTGGCGACGGCGATGAGCAGGGCTACGTTGACGCCAAGGCCTCGCGCCAGATTCTGGCCATGAGCCGCAGCCTCATAGATGAAGACGAGAAGGAACAGGCAAAGAGCAAGCCCGCGACCGGCCCATCACCCTTTGATTTCGATCCCTCCCGTTTCGACGTCGACCAGGACAGCGACCGCGAAGAGGATGGATATGGAAACGAAGATGCTTGGGGCGACGAGGATGATGTCGTTGAGGAGATTGAGGTTGACGCAGATGATCTCGAGACGTTCAACAAGTTTATTGCACCCACGATGCACGACGACCCTCTTCTCGAGTCTGGCTGGGACGGCAAGCCTTCAGAGCGCGTCGCAGGCGATGAGGGACAACAACCAACGAACCTGGCAGATCTCATCCTCGCCAAGATTGCCGAGAAGGAGTCTGGTATTCAGGGTGGGCAAGAATATGGAGCAGAGCCTATTGAGGAGGACTTTGTGCTGCACCCAAAGGTCATTGAGGTTTACACAAAGTACGCCTTGTACCTTCTTGGTGTCTCTTTTCTGTGCAAAGATGCTGACAACTCTTAGAATCGGAATGATCCTTCAACGGTACAAGTCTGGACCGTTGCCCAAGCCCTTCAAGATTTTGCCCACGATACCACACTGGGAGGAGATCCTACAGCTCACAAGGCCTGAACACTGGACCCCGAACGCATGGTAAGCTGGCAGTGAAAGCAATAGGAAGTCGTGCAATGCTGACAGAAACACAGCTACGCAGCAACACGAATCTTTGTGTCTGCAAAGCCATTCGTTGTCCAGCGGTTTGTTGAGATGGTTGTTTTGGATCGCGTCCGCGATGACATTAACGAGACCAAAAAACTCAATGTCCATCTTTTCAACTCTCTCAAGAAGGCCCTTTACAAGCCTGCAGGCTTTTTCAAGGGTAAGAATCTTTCAGCCACCCCCGAGAAGAGCACATACTGACTGTCTTGAAATAGGGTTTTTGTTTCCGTTGGTTGGATCTGGTAAGTGAAATTACTCTGGCTCTACCAATGGCCAGCCATCACGTTGAACAGAACGCTGACAGCTAGGATAATAGGCACATGCACATTGCGTGAAGCCCAAATCATTTCCGCAGTCTTGGCGCGTGTCTCGATTCCAGTCCTTCATTCGGCCGCGGCTATCAAGACGTTGTGCGACATTGCAGCAGAGCAGGCGTCGCAGAACTCAGAATGCGTCAGCTCCACTAACCTCTTCCTTAAGGTCCTATTGGAGAAGCGGTACGCTTTGCGTAAGTTACAAAAACTCATCTCAAAGTCTAGATCTAAGTGTGCTGACAAAAAAACAGCATGGCAGTGTGTTGACTCCCTCGTGTTCCACTTCATCCGATATGCTGCAACGGTCAGAGAAATCCAGGGTACAGGCCCGAACTCGCTGCCCGTTATCTTCCACCAGTGCATGCTTGTGTTTGCGGAACGTTACAAGAATGACAGTAGGTTATCCATTCGAGGAGGTAGACGAGATGTTAATGCTAACCCCTATAGTTACTGAGGATCAGAGAGAGGCTCTGCTGGATCTTCTTCTCTCGCATGGCCATAGCCAGATTGCACCCGAGATTAGAAGGGAGCTCGTTGCAGGGCGTGGGCGAGGTGTCCCAATTGAGCCAGATGGACCTGCGTTTGATGGTGACGATACCATGCTGATGGACTGAAGCACTATGCTACATCATCAGCATAGAACAAGATTACCGAACCCCGGGCGTAAGGCCGACCGGTTGTCAGGGCGTAGGAAGTTCGGCAAGGTTTTCAAACGACCTCGACCGAAGAGTCATCAAAGACCAATATCTTGGTCTAGCAGGGAGCCATGAGAGATACCCTGGGCCTCTTGCATTTATGATTCACGCCGATTGAGCGATGGAGCGCCAATCTCTCCGAGGAGAACGGCTGGTTGGGCCGAGACGAGCCTAAGTAGCCAATTTTATGACCGCCAATGTCACAGGCAATGAATACAGGCCCGAGAAGGCCAGCGTTGTTCTGGTTGTCAACTTCCATATCAAGGAAAGCTGGCGGATATTTGAGGCAAGGCCCTGTTCGCTTGACAAGACTTCATGATAGACAGCCATGCCTCGAGTCGATTTCACTGACTTTTGTTGTCAATTGTGAAAGCCCCTGGTTACGATGCGTTTCGGGTGGGCTGTAAGTGGGACACGTCACATTGCTGCTTCCATTGTTTTGAGGAATTGGGGAATGAACGACTGAGACTGACCCATCTTCTATGCTCCTGATGCAGCGCGGCTGCGCAGCCTCGGCCTACTAAACCATCGAAATTTGCCCTATCTGCCTTGCCTTGCATAAGTAACCTCAATCTTGAAGTGTGGGATTCATTGGATTATTTCTGTATACCTAAGTTTTCTATTTCTCTTTCTACCTACGCGCTCTCTCCTTGAGCCCGTTTCGGGCGGCCATACGTCTCATTTGCGTTGGACAAAGCAGTTCTGGAACTCCATCGTAGTCTTGGCCGAGCAAGTATTACAAACCAACCCTCCAGCCTGCATGGTCGCCACCGGTTTGCGAGACAAGAACTTCGCTGACGGTCGGATAGTCTGATTCAGGTACTGGAGCCACCACCGAGTATAATTTCATCGTCAGTAGTGATAGCCGTCGCACCTAAGCGATTGCAGAAGAGCTAGAATAACGAGCACCCCTTACCGGCCATGCTGACCGTGGCATGGACGGTTTGACAAGCCAAGCGCCTAGCAGCGGCGTATCAGTATCGAGCCGGAGCAACCACCCCCCCATCTCCATATACGGCGTTGACCCCCCGCGCCCCCCCAAGGAAGGCTACGAATGGGTCTGGTTCCCTGATGGATACTGGGCCGAGCGGGAGATTCGTCAGGTAGAAAGCCCAACGAGCAAGACACTCGACCTCAAGCGGTGGAAGCGGAGAAGGCGGTCAGCCAAGAGCCAGAGCGGCGGCGGAGGCAGCAGCCAGGAAGGCGACCAGCCCCAGACAATCTCGCCCAAGACCATACTCTCGGGGCAATGGGAGGGCAGGCCCTCTATTCCTCAGCC